TTATAAATTGTTATCATTATTCTATTATTATTAATAATAACTATTAATATGATTTATTTTGTCATTTTAAAGATTTTATTAAGTCAATTCAGTGTTCCTTCTATTGATTTGTTTGTTACTTTAGTTGTTTTATTTTTGTTTGTTTTTATTTACAATCCATGATCGATCAGATTTTATTTTGTAGATTAATTAATTAGTGGGGGTGCTTCCGGTCCGGTCTGACTGTGGTACCGGATCCTCCGCAGTGGCACCCACTTTACTGTAACCTTCATATCAATCAGCGATCAATAATCCTATCAATAACAGTATCGATCAGCTGACTCACCTCCCGAGCGATCTGGTTGAGAGCATCGTCCTCGGCCGTCACTTTCTCCCGGTTCGGGATCCTCTTCCTGCCCGGTCCCTGAGTCCCCATCGTCCAGCAGATTTTTACCGGCAGCCGAATGATCCACAAGGGTCTCCTGTAGTCCGGATCAGACAGACCCGGTCCCCAGAGCCCGGAATCACAATAAAAATCCGGCTTGTGTTTAAAATCTGTGTTTTTCTGACGCGGTTCGGCGGTCACCTTCTCTCCGGTTAGATCCTGCAGTCTCCGCGGTTCGGGACCGGATTACTGGGCCGAATGCTGCACCGGGGGCTCCTGTAGTCCAGAAGAGCCGCACTCGGTGTGGAGAGTCGGAGAATATGAAACTGATCAGTTTGAGGCGATAATATCGATATTTCCAGAAGCGGCTCGGCGGCCGCAGGACGTCCGCAGCGGCTGCGGCCGAGCTTACGTTACCCCGCTGCCGAACGTCACAACCGGAAACCGTTCAGAATCACCGGTTACTGTTACTGTCGCCTGCGTTCACATCCCTCAGTGAGCGTCGGTAATGCGGCCCGGTAAACCCGTTAATCTGCCACCGTCAACAGCCGCCGCCAAAGTTTACTGCCCGTTCCCTCCGGAGACCCTGAAGGCCACACGGGGCTGATGCAGGGCCCTGAACGCACCGCCGAGACACGCTCCGCAGTGGGGCCGAGGAGGAAGGAGGCTTTTATTGTGGAGGGGCGGATCTGCTCTGTCAGAGCAGAAACATTCAGATACACACCGGAAGTCTCTGTTTTCAAAATAAAACCTGACGATTATCAGCTGCTTTTTTGATAATCAATACTGATATCAATACTAATCATCAAAATATGTATATTTCATATTAACAATAATGATTATTAATGATAATAATAAATAAAGAACAATAATGATTGCTTAAAGGTTAAAATATTAGACATAATGAAAATCAAATATAATAGTATGTATCACTGAGAAGAAAACAAATATATATTATAAAACCAATAAAGTAAATATACAATAATAAGCAGATGTTTAAAACACTCAGAATTATTAGAATAATAACAATTTAAAATAATCAAACTATATTTATGTTTTGATTGATTTGATTCTGTTATTTAAATGTTGAATTGACTCAATCATAAACTCATCAATAATCAATTATTATCAATCATTATCGATCATTGATAACGTTTGTTTCTCTTCTAGTATGAAACTACTCATACGGGCTTTTATTTTGAAGGTTACCACGGAAGTCGTTTATTTGAGTTAGTTTGACTGAATACTGCATCCGGTCACCAGTTTCAAAATAAAAGAAGGATCCAGACTCAATCAGTCTTTTATTGATTGTTTATTGATCAGAAAGCCGAACACCGACACAAATATCAACATCATCAATACAGTATTTCCTTTCATCTATAATCAATACATCCATCACTTATCATCATCAAAACAGTATTCCCTTTCATCAATAATCAATACATCCATCAAACTAAACGTTTTTATTCTTCTAAACGTCAATATTACCAATACTGATCAATAACATCCTCTTTACGATCAGCAGTCGATCAATAGATTTTTCTCTTGTTATCCTGGAATTCATTGATATCATTGTGTAAATATATTGATCCTATCAGACCTGATCAGAAATGCTGAAAACATGAAACAAATCAATTATTTCTGTTAAAAAGCTGATCATTTAAATTCTACGGAAGCTCAAAGCTGCCAAGATTACATCGATTTAAAAGTTTGTAAAATATTTGAAGACTCAGATTTTTCACATTTATAATTCTGATTATTCAGTTTATTAATTAATGAACTTTTTTACAGAAACCAGAAACCTTTTTTAACTGTAATTAAACTAAATTAATGTTCTTTATTTGTTTTATCTAAAAAAAAAAGGTTGTAGATTTTAATTATTTCTTGAAAATCTTTACTTTGAATTCTAAATTGTTTTATTTTATTTATATTCTATTTTATTTTTGGATTTTTATCTTTTATTTTATCTTTTAATTTTTTATGGACGTTTTTCAGTTTTCTATTTGTAAACATTTTTATTTTTTGTGTCTTTTGAAGGACGAGAGAATATTTATATTAAATAATAATAATAATAATAATAATAATAAAGGAATTCATTTTAGAGCCAAAAAGGAAAAAGAAGATTAATGTTGAATTCACACATTTTTCACTCTTTAATCTGAATTAGTATTTTTGTAGTTTTATTAACTTTAATCTTAAAGTGTGAATGACAACAACAACAACAACAACAAGCTTTGTGTTGCTCTCAGCTGGTTCCAGCAGGTTTAGTACATGTTGTTTGATTTCCACTGAGCTCCGTTTGTGTTTTCTGTCAAGAACAACAACAACAACAACAACAACAACAACAACAACAACACAGTCAGTTTACTGTTCATATATCTGTAAACATATTTGTATTTTGAACCCTCTGATAAATAAAAACAATGATTGTCTCAACATATTGTTTACATTTATTACAGTGACAATAAAAAGTGTTTCTTACTGCAGAACTCTTGTGTTGATTTTTTCCTCTGATGAGCTCCAGAAACCTGTTTTTATTCAAAGAAACTTTTTTAAAAACTAATAAAATAAGAGACATAGTCACATCTTAAGTTAGCTAATGTTAGCAAAACACTAGCTAACTAGTCAGCTAATTTACATAGATCGTTAGCTAGTTAGGCAGCTAATTATCTAGCTAATGTTTGATGCAGATTAGCTAGCTCGTTAACAGAAGTTCTAAAAGGGGCGGGGCTTAGAGTCAATTATATTCAATATACTTAAAAATATTTAATTTAATATATATTTACAGTTAATCTTTTTTATGAGATACAAATTTTTTATTTACCAGATTACATAATTATAACTTCTTACAGTTCAACACATAAAGTTCCATATAAATGTTCTGTAGTTTTAAATAGTTTTAAATAAAGAAAATTAAGATTATTTTCTAATAATTATTGACAGTAATATTGATCATGTTGTAATCAATTTAATATATTTAACAATCTGACCTTCTTCTTCGATCCTACAGCGTTCAGAGCAGCAATCTTACTCTCAATATCCGACACCTGCAGAGAAAACCATAATCAATACATCAATATCACAACATCCCATAATTCATTATTATTCCTGATGGAAGAATTCTGTGAAACTGTTTTCTCATTGAATGTTATCGATATGCTAACTAGCTAACTAATTTATTAATAATAATAATAAATAAATGATTAGCGAACTGTTGACGGTTATTTTATTATTATGATTATAATTTGTTGTATTTATAAGATTCTCTGAATGTGGTAACTGTACAGGTGGACTTCATACAGGTGTGTGTCTCCGCCCACCTCGCTCTCGGCGCTCTGGACTCTGGCGGCGGTCAGCGCCACCACGTCCTCCAGCTCCGACAGCTCCGAGTCCGTCGTCCCTCCGAAACGGTTCTTGGCGCTCTGCTCGAGTCGCCGCAGCTTCGTCTCCAGTTCGTACGACTGACCGGCTGCAATGTACACCTGGACAGGTAACATGACAGACACACCTGTGTCAGCTGAGAGGGCGCTAACACACCTAAACAACAACAACAACAACAACAACAATAATATCAACAACAGGGCTGCGTATGACTGTAAAACAGTGACGGTGAAATCCACTAATGATCATCAGCTGATTGTAAAAAGTATCTTAAAGGGAAATGATCATGTGATCAATATTTTATTATTATCAGTTTTTGTTCTTTGAATTTAATATGATAATTAAGAGGTTGAACAACCATAAACACATCACTGAGAACTGGATTTCACGTCAACCCTTTTCTAAATGAAAACTCCTGCTGGACCTGGACCCGGACCTGGACCCGGACCTGGACCCGGACCTGGACCCGGACCCAGTTTGTGTTACAGATACCCAGCCCTGTTGGTGAGACTGCAGCCAGGGAGAGTAAAGCCAGTCCAGACATTTGTATCATGCGTCAGACGCGGCGGGAGGATTCTGCTTAGTTTGACCTTTGGACAAAAAGAAGTTAGGGGGAAACGAGCAGTTCATGATTGAAGCTTACATTTTCCTCAAGTTCCCTGAAAGCATCATCTGCTTGCTTAACGTCAGTGCCTACTAAGTGGGATCTGTCGACCGGCTCTGAGAGGCCGTACTCGACCATTGCGTTTTCTGTGGCATTAATGGTTCTCAGGACCTCAGTGGTGAGGTCACAGAGGGCAGCAGCAGTTGATCTCTGAAAGCCATGTAGAGGGACAGATGTTAGCAGCTGGAAAACAACACCTGATCCTGGAGCAGCTACCGGCCTGGAGCCACAAACACAGCTCACTTTGGTAGTGATGATACTTCATTACTCATATCATCACTACCAAATATATTCAGTCTGATCGTGGCCAATGTTGGACTGATCAGAACAGGATACAGGTTCTAACGAGAACCATCAGGAACCTAAACTCCCTCCGAGTCCACACTATGAATCATAACAACGGCTTTAACTGCTCCTGTCTTCGATGATTAATAAACACCACTGAAGAAGAAGTCTGCAGGTGTCTGGATCCAGGCAGGTAGCTGCTGACATTTACACAAGCTGCTGTGCTGACCTCTGAAGGTTGTTAACTGACGCAGTCTGTTAGTGAGCAGGAGGTCAGTCTGTTTCCTTTCTGCAGAAGAACTAATCTTTATAAAAGAGCAGATTAAACACATTCTTTGATTTATTCTTGTTCTTAAAGCTTCTAAATGTAAAGTTAACCGAATATTGTTTCCAAACCAACAATGAGAGCAGCTCAACTCGCACTACGTGACCTCTGCTGTCATGGCGGTGGCCAAAACGCCAAACTCAAGGCTTCAGAACAATTCTCTACAAACCGATGAGTGATGTCACACTTGGTTGTAACCCCAGCTTAGTTTAGCTACAGTTAGCTAGAAAGCAACCGTTAGCATTGTACCGCTACATCATTTATTGTTGGCTAAAATCAACACCGTTTGTCAGAATACATCAGTCAGTATCATGGATAGCTGGGGAAGCTAACGTTAGCCAACCAACATATCCCCTCAGATAGTATTTTGCTAGCAATAATGTTAGTGAGCAAGCAAGCTAATGTTAGCCAGCTAGCTGCAACCCAATGCTGAATCATGCTATCCGCTATCCGCTATCCGTTATCCGTTATCCGCCCCACAACGCCAGCTGGCAAAGTAACAAACAACAAACCAGCCACATCAGCCCTGTGAGTCTGGAGGAAGCTAGCTGACAGTATTTCACTATGTTAGCAACCAAGCTAACGTTATCCAGCTAACAGCTCAATCAGATCCACTAGCTTAGCAGTAATGTTAGCTTTGACTTTGGACTCTGTGTTGGACTCTGTGTTGGACTCTGTGTTGTGGACTCTGTGTTGTGGACTCTGTGTTGGACTCTGTGTTGGACTCTGTGTTGTGGACTCTGTGTTGTGGACTCTGTGTTGTGGACTCTGTGTTGGACTCTGTGTTGGACTCTGTGTTTTGGACTCTCGTGTTGTGGACTCTGTGTTGGACTCTGTGTTGTGGACTCTGTGTTGTGGACTCTGTGTTGTGGACTCTGTGTTGTGGACTCTGTGTTGGACTCTGTGTTGTGGACTCTGTGTTGGACTCTGTGTGGTGGACTCTGTGTGTTGGACTCTGTGTTGTGGACTCTGTGTTGGACTCTGTGTTGCCCACTGTTGGCACTCGGGAGCATAAAGGTCACAACCTTTGACCCTCATCCCTACATAGAGACACATAGAGATCAGTCCACAGGCAGCAGAGGAACAAAGCTATGCTACAACCCGTTTACTGATCAATACACTGATCAATAATCTGATTATTATAGAGACACATAGAAATCAGATTTATATTCCACTGTATTATAACCCTGTCTTTGGGGATAAGCTGAGCCATGCTGTGGGAGGACTCTTTACTACATTCACCACAAATGGGATCCTGGACATTTACAAAACGTCCTGGTCTGAATGAATGTATTGATTATTGATTAGTTCATTAATGTGGCTCTATGAAGACAATAACTGGTGTGAATGAGATCTTAGATCCATCTTGCACTCTATGAGGTAAATGTGAGTTGTTTCAGAAACCTCCAGGTTCCCATTTGCTGTAAACTGTCCTGAGCTTGAACCCAGAAAAGGTCCGGTTGTACGTCCCGACCTCCTCCCTACCTTCTGGGCCTCTGTAGGCATCTCGTCGCTGGATGAGCTCAGTTCTTTGTCCTTCAGAGAGTCCAGAGTGGCCGAGGGGCCACCCCTGACGCCAGCCGGACCTTTACCCACAGAGAAGGGCTTCTTCCCGGCCTCGTCGTCTGACGACAGGCCCTTATCACTCAGGTTCCCCGCCAGCTCACTCAGCTTCCTCCTCAGCTTCTCCTCCTCATTCTGACCCGATGGAGCCGATGTCTGCAGGAAGATAGGAAATACATTTATGGATGAATCAATGAAGAATTTCAAAATAACCAAACCATAACAGTCCGGTCTACAAACATCCGCCTCACCTCGTCAGCTGGTGTCATCTTCTCCTCCAGGCGGCTCAGCAGACTCTCGATGGCAAACATGCGTTTGTTCAGCTCGTTCATCTGAGCAGGAAAAGAGAAAATGAGGAGCAGAAGAACAGTTCCAGTTATCGGTAGAAGATCCAGTTTCTGTTCTGTATGGGTTATAAAACAGATGGACTATTACGGGCGGGGCTTGTCCAAGGTTCTCCTGCGAGGACGCTCTGCTGTTGCGGCGGCGGTGGGGGGGCTGTTGGTACATGGGGGGGTATCTCGGGTAATCTTCCTCATCAGAGGTGTCGACGTACTGCTGCCGAGCCACCGAGGAGCTGATCTTAGATAGAGAGCGAGTCCGGACCATCCTGCTCTCTCCGTAGTCATCTGACAACATACAGGTACACACAGGTAAATACACACAGGTAAATACACCCAGGTACATACAGGTAAATACACACAGGTAAATACACACAGGTAAATACACACAGGTACACACAGGTAAATACATACAGGAACACACAGGAACACACAGGTAAATACACACACTACACACAGGTAAATACACACAGGTACACACAGGTAAATACACTCAGGTACACACAGGTAAATACACACAGTACACACAGGTAAATACATACACAGTACGTACTGTGTTTATTGTGTGTACTGTGTGTAGTACAGTGTGTGTACTGTGTGTAGTACAGTGTGTATAGTGTGTAGTACTGTGTGTACTGTGTGTAGTACTGTGTAGTACAGTGTGTACTGTGTGTAGTACTGTGTGTATTGTGTGTAGTACTGTGTGTACTGTGTGTACTGTGTATAGTACTGTGTGGTGTACTGTGTGTACTGTGTGTAGTACAGTGTGTAGTACTGTGTATGTACTGTGTGTAGTACAGTGTGTACTGTGTGTAGTACTGTGTGTATTGTGTGTAGTACTGTGTGTACTGTGTGTAGTACTGTGTGTATTGTGTGTAGTACTGTGTGTACTGTGTGTAGTACTGTGTGTAGTGTGTGTAGTACTGTGTGTATTGTGTGTAGTACTGTGTGTACTGTGTGTAGTACTGTGTAGTACAGTGTGTACTGTGTGTAGTACTGTGTATACTGTGTGTAGTACTGTGTGTACTGTGTGTAGTACTGTGTATAGTGTGTGTAGTACTGTGTAGTACAGTGTGTACTGTGTGTAGTACAGTGTGTACTGTGTGTAGTACTGTGTGTACTGTGTGTAGTACTGTGTGTAGTACTGTGTATAGTACTGTGTGTAGTACAGTGTGTAGTACTGTGTGTACTGTGTGTAGTACTGTGTGTATTGTGTGTAGTACTGTGTGTACTGTGTGTACTGTGTGCAGTACAGTGTGTACTGTGTGTAGTACTGTGTAGTACAGTGTGTACTGTGTGTACTGTGTGTATTCAATTCAATTCAATTCAATTTTATTTGTATAGCGCCAATTCATAACAGAAGTTATCTCAGGACACTTTTCAAATAGAGCAGGTCTAGACCGAACTCTTTAACATTAATTACAGAGACCCAACAGTACCACCATGAGCAAGCACTTGGCGACAAGGGCAAGGGAAAAACTGCCTGTTAAAAGGCAGAAACCTAGGACAGATCCTCCGGCTCTAGGTGGGTGGTCGTCTGTCTCGACCAGTTGGGGTGAGAGAGAGAGAGAGAGAGAGAGAGAGAGAGAGAGAGAGAGAGCGACAGACAGACAGACAGGTGCACAGCAACAACAGTATTGGCAATGGCAGTCAAGCAGGACCATGGCAGGAGGCTCCACCAGGATCCATGAGAACCTGCGAGACGAGAAAGCACAAGAACTCCGGGGAAGAAGTGAAGTTAGTAACATGCATTAAAGGGACATGAATGAGTGCAGAAAGAGAGAGGAAGAGAGTAGCTCAGTGCACCATGGGAAATCCCCCGATAGTCTAGGCCTATAGCAGCATAACTAAGGGATGGTTCAGGACTCACCTGATCCAGCCCTAACTATAAGCTTTATCAAAGAGGAATGTCTTAAGCCTACTCTTGAATGTGGTGAGGGTGTCTGCCTCCCGAACCACAACTGGAAGCTGGTTCCACAGGAGAGGAGCTTGGTAACTGAAGGCTCTGGCTCCTGTTCTACTTTTAGAGACTATAGGAACCACAAGTAGCCCAGCATTCAGAGAACGTAGTGTTCTAGTGGGGTAATAGGGTACTATGAGCTCTTTAAGATATGAAGGGGCCTGACCATGAAGAGCTTTATAGGTGAGGAGGAGTATTTTAAATTCAATTCTACATTTTATAGGGAGCCAATGCAGAGTAGCTAGTACAGGAGAGATGTGATCTCTTTTTCTAGTTCCTGTCAGTACTCGTGCTGCAGCGTTCTGAATTAATTGGAGCGTTTTAATGGACTTATTGGGGCAACCTGATAATAAAGAGTTGCAGTAATCCAGCCTTGAAGTAACAAATGCATGGATTAGTTTTTCTGCATCTGTCTGTGATAGTATGTGTCTAATTTTTCTAATATTACGTAAATGAAAGAAGGCAGTCCTAGAGGTCTGCTTTATGTGGGAGTTAAATGACAAATCCTGATCAAAGATAACTCCAAGATTCCTGACAGTGGTGCTAGAGGCCAAGTTAATGCCATCTAGAGTCACTATATCTTTAGACAATGAGTCTCTAAGGTTTTTGGGGCCAAGAACAAGAATTTCGTTTTTTTCTGAGTTTAACATCAGAAAATTGCAGGTCATCCAGGATTTTATGTCCTTAAGACATGTTTGTAATTTAGATAATTGATTAATTTCATTGGGTTTGATTGATAGATATAACTGCGTATCATCTGCATAACAGTGAAAGTTAATGGAGTGATTCCTAATAATGTTGCCTAAAGGGAGCATATATAAAGTAAATAGTATTGGTCCAAGTACAGAACCTTGTGGAACTCCATGACTAACTTTAGTATTTATGGAGGATTCATCGTTAACATGTACAAACTGAGTACGATCTGATAAGTATGACTTAAACCAGGTTAGGGCAGTTCCTTTAATGCCAATTTGATGCTCAAGTCTCTGTAAAAGAATATCATGGTCAATGGTGTCAAATGCAGCACTAAGATCTAATAATACAAGTACAGAGACAAGTCCATTGTCAGAAGCAGTCAGAAGGTCATTATTAACTTTAACCAGAGCTGTCTCTGTGCTATGATGAACTCTAAATCCTGACTGAAAATCCTCAAATAAACTATTGTTATGTAGAAAGTCACACAACTCTTTGGCGACTACTTTCTCCAGAATCTTAGAGAGGAACGGGAGGTTAGAAATCGGTCTATAGTTGGCTAAAACCCCTGGGTCAAGAGTAGACTTTTTAAGAAGGGGTTTAATTACAGCTACTTTAAAGGACTGTGGTACATATCCTGATAATAAAGAAAGATTAATCATATCCAGTAAAGAAGTGCCAATTAAGGGAACAACTTCTTTAAGCAGCCTAGTTGGGATCGGGTCTAACAGACAGGTTGATGGCTTCGATGAAGAAATGATTGAAGTTAACTGATGAAGATCGATAGCAGAAAAACAGTCTAAATATACATCTAAGTTTACATTGACAGAAGTCCCTGAACTTGGAGAGCCACTGATAACTGTTGATGGCAGTTGGTGATTAATTTTTTCTCTAATAGTAATAATTTTATTATAGAAGAAGCTCATGAAGTCATTGCTACTTAAGTTTATGGGGATATGTGGCTCGATAGAGCTGTGACTCTCTGTCAGCCTGGCTACAGTGCTGAAGAGGAACCTAGGGTTGTTCTTATTTTCTTCTATTAGTGCTGAGTAATAGGCTCCTCTGGCATTACGGAGGGCCTTTCTATAAATCTTAAGATCATCTTGCCAATTTGAGCGATATTCTGATAATTTGGAAGAGCGCCATTTCCTTTCAGATTTCCTAGCTATTTGCTTTAACTGGCGGGTTTGGTGGTTATACCAAGGTGCTAGTCTCCTATGTTTTAATAATTTCCTTTTTATAGGAGCGATAGAGTCTAATGTTGATCGTAGTGAGCCTGTAGCACTATCGACAAGATTATCAATTTCAGAGGGACTAAAGTTGTTATAGGACTCTGTTAAATTCAGACATGGCATTGAATTAAACACTGAAGGAATCTCCTCCTTAAATTTAGCTACAGCACTGTCAGATAGACATCTGCTGTAGGAAGTTTTGCCTAATGGCTTATAATCTAATAGTATGAATTCAAAAGTTATTAAATAATGGTCAGATAGGAAAGGATTATGTGGGAACACTATTAAATGTTCAATATCAATGCCATATGATAAAACAAGGTCAAGAGTGTGATTAAAACAATGAGTTGGTTTATTTACACTCTGACAGAAGCCAATTGAGTCTATTAATGATATAAATGCATTACTAAGGCTGTCATTGTCAACATCCACATGAATATTAAAATCACCTACAATAATTACTTTATCTGATTTAAGGACTAAGCTTGATAGAAACTCTGAAAATTCAGATATAAAATTAGAGTACGGTCCAGGAGCGCGGTACACTATAACAAATAGAACTGGCTGCAGTGTTTTCCAGTTTGGGTGAGAAAGACTAAGAACAAGGCTTTCAAATGAATTATAATTTAGTTTAGGTTTAGGGTCCATTAAAACGCTCGAATCATATATAGCTGCCACTCCACCTCCTCGGCCAGTGCCTCGAGGAATGTGAGTATTAATATGACTGGGGGGGGTGGATTCATTTAGGCTAACATACTCCTCGTGGGACAACCAGGTCTCAGTAAGACAAAGTAAATCAATATCATAATCTGATATTAATTCATTCACTAAAACAGCTTTAGAGGACAGAGACCTGATATTTAACAGTCCACATTTCATTCTCTTATTTTGTGCTACTGAGGAGTTGGTTTTAATTTTTATTAGATTTTTATGTTGAACTCCTCTTGTTTTTATTTCTTTAAATAGTTTAGGTGGTCGGGGGACAGACACAGTCTCTATGGGGGTTTGGGTGGGTGACTGTTCTAAAGAAAGAGCAGAGAAGTGTGTAAGACAGCAGCTCTGCTTCCTGGTCCTAACTCTGGACTGTCAGGTTTTAGAAATAAACTTCGCCATATTTCTAGATAAGAGAGCCGCTCCATCCAAAGTGGGATGGATGCCGTCTCTCCTAATCAGACCAGGTTTTCCCCAAAAAGGCTTCCAGTTATCAATGAAGCCCACATCGTTTGCTGGACACCACCTCGACAGCCAGCGGTGGAATGACGACATGCGGCTATACATGTCATCACTGGTCACATTGGGCAGGGGTCCAGAGAAAACTACGGTGTCCGACATTGTCTTAGCATAGTTACACACCGACTCCACATTAATCTTAGTGACCTCCGATTGGCGTAAACGGGTGTCGTTACCGCCGACGTGGATAACAATCTTACTGTATTTACGTTTATCTTTAGCCAGCAGTTTTAAATTTGATTCAATGTCGCCCGCTCTGGCCCCAGGGATACATTTAACTATGGCCGCTGGCTTCACTAACTTCACGTTTCTGACTATGGAGCTGCCAATAATCAGAGTTGGTTCCTCAGCGGGTGTATCGCTGAGTGGGGAAAATGTATTAGAAACATGAAGGGGTTGGTGGTGACCTGTGGGCTTCGCCGTTCTAGTCTTCCTTCGCTCAGTCACCCAGCCTCCCTGTCTTCCCGGCTGCTCGGGAACTACCGGGGGAACTACCGGAGGAACTACCGGGGAACTACCGGAGGAACTACCGGGGGATCTACCGGAGGAACTACCGGGGGATCTACCGGGGGAACTACCGGAGGAACTACCGGGGGATCTACAGAGCTAACAGAAGCTACCTTCGGTCGGACCGCACCGGCTACCGGGGGCTGGCTAACTATAGCGGCTAAAGATATCTCCGTGGTGCGGTGCCGTTCCTCTAACTCACTAAGCCTCGCCTCCAGCGCAGTAAATAAACTACATTTAATACAGGTACCATTATCTTTAAAGGAGGCAGAGGAATAACTGAACATCTGACACACTGAGCAGGACAGAGGAGAGGGAGAGGGAGAAGCCATAGCTAACTGCTAATGCTAATGAAACTAGAGTGTATGAAAAACTTTGAAAGTAGTGAAAAGTCCCTAAAAGAGGGAGAAACTCCGAGTGTTTAAGTAGAACTAGTCTACGTTTAAATGTTAAGCGGGTAAATAACCGCTGTAACGAGTAAAACTAATTTATATTTAGCGTTCACTGACAGAGCTACAGCACCAAACAGTGTACACAGAGCAGGAAGTAAACCGGAAGTGAGTCAGTACGCTTACCGTAGCACGTCCGTTAAAAAACTCAGTGGAGTTCATCACTGCATTCAGCTTGACTCACGGAACAGTGTAGTACTGTGTAGTACAGTGTAGTACAGTGTGTAGTACTGTGTGTAGTGCTGTGTGTAGTACTGTGTGTATTGTGTGTAGTACTGTGTGTAGTAGTGTGTGTACTGTGTGTACTGTGTGTAGTACCGTGTAGTACAGTGTGTACTGTGTGTGTACTGTGTGTAGTACTGTGTAGTACAGTGTGTAGTACTGTGTGTAGTACAGTGTGTAGTACTGTGTGTAGTGCTGTGTGTAGTACTGTGTGTACTGTGTGTAGCACTGTGTGTACTGTGTGTAGTACAGTGTGTACTGTGTGTAGTACTGTGTGTACTGTGTGTACTGTACCAGGTCTCATGGCGTATCGGTCCAGACTCTTCCTGCGGTTCACTCGGTGGTTGTACATATCGTAGTCCACATCGTTCCTGTGAGCTCGATCCTCCTGCATCTGCTGCACATCACACATTATTATTAATACATTAATACATTATCAATACATTATCAATACATTATCAATACGTTATTAATACGTTATTAATACATTATCAATACATTATCAATATGTTATCCATAATTAATAAATATTTTATACATTATCACATAATATGAATACATTAATATATTATCAATACGTTATCAATACATTATCAATACATCAATACATTATCAATACATTATCAATATGTTATCCATAATTAATAAATATTTTATACATTATCACATAATATGAATACATTAATATATTATCAATACGTTATCAATACATTATCAATGCACTATCAATACATTAATGAATCATTAATACATTATCAATACAGTTATATATTCAAGATTGTACTTTAGGTGCTGTGTACTTTAGGTGCTGTGTACTTTAGCTGTTGTACTTTAGCGGTTGTACTTTAGGTGCTGTGTACTTTAGGTGTTGTGTACTTTAGGTGCTGTGTACTTTAGGTGCTGTGTACTTTAGGTGCTGTGTACTTTAGGTGCTGTGTACTTTAGGTGCTGTGTACTTTAGCGGTTGTACTTTAGGTGTTGTACTTTAGGTGCTGTGTACTTTAAGTGTTGTGTACTTTAGGTGTTGTGTACTTTAGGTGCTGTGTACTTTAGGTGCTGTGTACTTTAGGTGTTGTGTACTTTAGGTGCTGTGTACTTTAGGTGCTGTGTACTTTAGGTGCTGTGTACTTTAGGTGCTGTGTACTTTAGGTGTTGTGTACTTTAGGTGTTGTGTACTTTAGGTGCTGTGTACTTTAGGTGTTGTGTACTTTAGGTGCTGTGTACTTTAGGTGTTGTGTACTTCAGGTGTTGTACTTTAGGTGCTGTGTACTTTAGGTGTTGTGTACTTTAGGTGCTGTGTGCTTTAGGTGTTGTGTACTTTAGGTGTTGTGTACTTTAGGTGCTGTGTACTTTAGGTGTTGTGTACTTTAGGTGCTGTGTACTTTAGGTGCTGTGTACTTTAGGTGCTGTGTACTTTAGGTGTTGCACTTTAGGTGTTGTACTTTAGGTGCTGTGTACTTTAGGTGTTGTTCTTTAGGTGTTGTACTTTAGGTGCTGTGTACTTTAGGTGCTGTGTACTTTAGGTGCTGTGTACTTTAGGTGCTGTGTACTTTAGGTGTTGTGTACTTTAGGTGCTGTGTACTTTAGGTGCTGTGTACTTTAGGTGTTGTACTTTAGGTGCTGTGTACTTTAGGTGCTGTGTACTTTAGGTGTTGTGTACTTTAGGTGCTGTGTGCTTTAGGTGTTGTGTACTTTAGGTGCTGTGTACTTTAGGTGTTGTACTTTAGGTGTTGTGTACTTTAGGTGCTGTTTACTTTAGGTGTTGTACTTTAGGTGCTGTGTACTTTAGGTGTTGTGTACTTTAGGTGCTGTGTACTTTAGGTGCTGTGTACTTTAGGTGTTGTGTACTTTAGGTGCTGTGTACTTTAGGTGCTGTGTACTTTAGGTGCTGTGTACTTTAGGTGCTGTGTACTTTAGGTGTTGTGTACTTTAGGTGTTGTACTTTAGGTGTTGTGTACTTTAGGTGCTGTGTACTTTAGGTGCTGTGTACTTTAGGTGCTGTGTACTTTAGGTGTTGTGTACTTTAGGTGCTGTGTACTTTAGGTGTTGTGTACTTCAGGTGTTGTACTTTAGGTGCTGTGTACTTTAGGTGTTGTGTACTTTAGGTGCTGTGTGCTTTAGGTGTTGTGTACTTTAGGTGTTGTGTACTTTAGGTGCTGTGTACTTTAGGTGCTGTGTACTTTAGGTGCTGTGTACTTTAGGTGCTGTGTACTTTAGGTGTTGCACTTTAGGTGTTGTACTTTAGGTGCTGTGTACTTTAGGTGTTGTTCTTTAGGTGTTGTACTTTAGGTGCTGTGTACTTTAGGTGCTGTGTACTTTAGGTGCTGTGTACTTTAGGTGTTGTGTACTTTAGGTGCTGTGTACTTTAGGTGCTGTGTACTTTAGGTGTTGTGACTTTAGGTGCTGTGTACTTTAGGTGCTGTGTGCTTTAGGTGTTGTGTACTTTAGGTGCTGTGTAATTTAGGTGTTGTACTTTAGGTGCTGTGTACTTTAGGTGTTGTGTACTTTAGGTGTTCTACTTTAGGTGTTGTACTGTAGGTGTTGTACTGTCGGTGCTGTGTACTTTAGGTGTTGTGTACTTTAGGTGCTGTGTACTTTAGGTGCTGTGTACTTTAGGTGTTGTGTACTTTAGGTGTTGTGTACTTTAAGTGTTGTGTACTTTAGGTGCTGTGTACTTTAGGTGTTGTACTTTAGGTGCTGTGTACTTTAGGTGCTGTGTACTTTAGGTGCTGTGTACTTTAGGTGTTGTGTACTTTAGGTGTTGTGTACTTTAGGTGTTGTGTACTTTAAGTGTTGTGTACTTTAGGTGCTGTGTACTTTAGGTGTTGTGTACTTTAGGTGCTGTGAACTTTAGGTGCTGTGTACTTTAGGTGCTGTGTACTTTAGGTGTTGTACTTTAGGTGTTGTGTACTTTAGGTGCTGTGAACTTTAGGTGCTGTGTACTTTAGGTGTTGTACTTTAGGTGTTGTGTACTTTAGGTGTTGTGTACTTTAAGTGTTTTGTACTTTAGGTGTTGTGTACTTTAGGTGCTGTGTACTTTAGGTGCTGTGTACTTTAGGTGTTGTGTACTTTAGGTGCTGTGAACTTTAGGTGTTGTGTACTTTAGGTGCTGTGTACTTTAGGTGCTGTGTACTTTAGGTGTTGACTTTAGGTGTTGTACTTTAGGTGCTGTGTACTTTAGGTGTTGACTTTAGGTGTTGTACTTTAGGTGCTGTGTACTTTAGGTGTTGACTTTAGGTGTTGTACTTAAGGTGTTGTGTACTTTAGGTGTTGTGTACTTCAGGTGCTGTGTATTTAGGTGCTGTGTACTTTAGGTGTTGTGTACTTTAGGTGTTGTGTACTTCAGGTGCTGTGTATTTAGGTGCTGTGTACTTTAGGTGTTGTGTATTTAGGTGCTGTGTACTATAGCTACCTGTACAGACGGTCGACGTGAATGAGGGAAATATTCCTCAGGGTCGAAGTCCAGAGGATGAACCGACAGCAGACGTTTACTCTTCCTCATCTTAAGGAAAAGAAGAAATGACAAGTTTTAAATCTGCAGGTTTGAAACCCAGTTACCACGTTTGTATTTCCACGTTACCACTTTGTAGCGCTGAGCGTCGGCCTCTCCATGGTCGTCCTCGGCCCCGTTGTACACATCTACGAAGACAGGTTGGCATTAAAACACACTTTCAGAAGGTTTTAAGTTCGGACAGTTCAAACCCTCCTGATAAATATGGAGATTAATTATTGTCTCTAAAGTTTAAAAGATGTTTCAATATAATTTTTTGCTGTTAAACAGCTGATAATGCCTCTTTTTGTGACTTTAGTTCCATTCACTTTGTTCATTTTAATGTAACCTAATGTCTGTGTGTGCCGCCGTATACGTTGACCGAGAAGAGTTTCAGCAGAGACTCACGGCTGCGGACGTCCGGCATACTCTGAGTGTCGTCATCGCGGCCACCTGAAGAAGAAACAGGAAGTAACGTAGATAAATAATAAAAAGGAATTTTTATCTTAGCACAGGTGATGGCATACTCACCGTCTCCGTTCAGCCTCTTGTACAGTGACCTCATCACCTTGGCGCTGCCGAAGCGTTTGAAGCGGTTTCTCACGTTGTCGTGGTACCAACCGACAGTACCTATCTTCACCACTCTGCAGATCCACACAACAGACACCGTGATCTGAACAGGTGGAGCACTGAAACCTCCGAGCTAACACCTGATCAAATATTACCTCCAAGCAAACAATGTAAAGCTTTACATTTTACAACGGACAAACCAAACTCTGTTAATGTCAGCTGTTTCCTGCCCCTTCCCTGTGGGGGCGTGGCATCGTTGTCCCTCCTCTGGTCCTGATTCTCAACCTGCACACCTGAAGCCACTCTGCTAGTCAACCCTGGTTCTTCACCTGCTTTCAGGCGATCTATCATCCTTCACCTCCCTCTGTCAGCGCCCTCTGGATCTCTTCCACCACAACAATTACACCAAACAATAACTGTCTCGAACATTCAGATTGGTTGTGTGTCTGCTCCTGAGGTCCTCCCTGTTGTTCTTAACAAACACTGGCTTCATTCCCAGGTCATCAGATACAGTTAAGTACAATCTGAAACTTTACCACTAGATGGCACTAAATCCTACACACTGGAGCTTTAACTGGGTCATGGAAGTTTTGTGCTTGTAGTTATTGTAATATATCTCTAATATATCTTCGAGTTGATACTAATGAGGTGTCAGTAACGAGGTAAATGTTACTAAAAGTAAAATGTTTCCAACCTGTTTCTACTTTAATGAATAACCAACAGATTTCTTTATCTTAAGTTTCTGTCTGCAGAAGACTTTTCCTCTGATGTCTGCAGCTTCTCTGCCTCATTCATTTGAGCTATTAGCTATTAGCTAACTGCTGCTGAAAGACTGGGACCTGAAGCCTCCAGTTGGGCTTTAAGGTCGTCTCCATGTTGGTGTTTAGCAGCCAGCGGAGGTCACGTACTGCAAGTTGAGCTGCTCTCATTGGCTGCTCTTGGTTTGGAAACAATGGCGGCTCTCCTGCTCACACAGGATCTGGTATTCCAGATAAACAGTAAAATGTGTTTGTGAACAGATTTGAGGAGAGACATAGTCAACAACAGAATCTGGATCTATATCTGATCAGCACTGTTTGACAGTTTGATCTGAGTTTGGTGTGTTGAGCTGGACGGACTCACTGAGAATGAGCTGTCAATCACAAGGTAGCCCCGCCCTAAAGCATACCCTGCTTTATGGTCTGTTTTACTCTAAATGGGACCATCAGTTACTAAATGAACATCATGCTGTATGGAAGAAGACTGAAACTAGAGACTGAGACCAGAAACTCATCAGGAAACCTCTCCATAAGACTGAATGATATGGGTTTTTATTGCAACCAATGCAGCTACTCTAGTGCAGACGGAGAATACAGAGCTGGAAATGAGCAGAACAGGTCGACTTTAACTAATAGTAGATGGCTAACATGTCAGCATACAGAGTGATGGTTGGCTCCATTGTGGATTTGATTGGACACAAAATGACTGCATCATCACATATTGTCACTGAGTTAACGAGCAGTCTCACCACAGATGTGACCACAAGTTCCTCACCTGCGCTGTCAGGACCCACATCTGCCGGTGGGTGTCTCACCTGGTCATGCGGCAGTTGTCACACACCCAGCCGTGCTCCTTCTTGTTGTAGCGGCTGCAGGACTTGCAGGTGTACATGCGGCAGTCCAGACACTGACGCTTACTGTTGACCAGGAACTTGAAGGGCTGCAGGCAGCGGATGCAGAGCGAGTCAGACAGCTGACTCTGAGAGCCCAGCAGCTCTCGCTTCGTATCCTCCTTCTCGATTTTAGTCTTCAGGTCGCTGCAAAACAGGAGGACAGAGGATGGTACTGTATCAGAGTCAAAGGTTTTTCTCTTTTCAGAGTGTACTGGTACCAGAAGTTTCATGCTTAAATATGTACATGAGGCATTATCTCATTAAAATATGCTCATTTCCAGAAATAAATAGAGATAAAGCAACATTAAACTTTCATATCAGAGTCAAGGTTTTTCTCTTTTCAGAGTTTATCTAACACTAACTTTAGCTGAAATCTACAGATGCAAACAGACAACGTGAAGTAAAATAAACACTAAAAGTGTATTTGGGCTGTTTTCTGTCCACTAGTAGAAAGAAGACGTGTTATGGAAGCAAAATTGGCCAAAATTTCACAACTGATGGGAGCATAAAGAAAGCGGATTTGGCCTGTAGTATACAATCTTATATTAATACTCCTATTGACTCCTATTCAAACAGCAGTGTGTCAGTAAACAGATGGTGAAGCAGCTGAACATCTTGTGAAAGAGAGTTTGTTCTCATGTGACAGAATCATTAAAGCTCAACGACCACCTCGAGGGAAACTCTCCCAACCACAGTGGATCTATTGTCATTCAGTACCACATACATTCACACCACATTTACATGCTCACACTGCTGCAGGGACCAGTCACATTCCTCTCAACGCCACCAAATTGTCTCCTCTAAGGGTCAAAGATCTGAGCTTCACACTTTATTTCATGAGTTCAGCTAACATCAAGTCATTGTTTCGTCTAAAGAAATCTGAAATAGTGAAGAGCGGTTCTCTGTGCCAGAAAATACATTCCTGCCTGAGCTGGACATAAATGTATAAAAGTCCTGATATTTTTCTACAAAGAACTAAATGCTTTCTATCTCCACACAGGATTATAAATAATATAATATATATTAATATATCACATCATGGTCTGGGTGAATACTGGATTGTGATTGGCTGCAGGGTATCCATTAAGTTCTGACCCAGTGAAACTGCTCTTAATCAATTAAATAAACTGAAAACAAAATGTGAATATCTCATAAATTCGACCAAGACATTGAACTGTGACCATCACACAGCGATCTGATTGTAGTAATAATAACCCTCTAACCCTAACGTTAGAATAATAAAACAATAATAGGCTAAATGAAGACTGAACATAACAACATGTGATGTGTGATTGCTCACAGAAATCACACAATTATTGGACTCACTAAAAGTTATGAAATAAAGTTAATATTAATAATATCATTATTGTTACTATTATATGAATCAAATAAACCGTACAGACCTCTGACCTGTTTCTACAGCACTGACCTCTGATCTGTATTATTATCAAACAGGATGCACAGAAGACAACAACCCTCCCTGACAATGGGTCATGAATCAGGAAACTGTGCTAAGATAAACTGAGGAATATGGTTTCATTTGGTTCAACTTCCTGCTTGGATTGAGGTGAGATTTTGGATGATATTGTGATTTTTAAAATGCATGGTGCTGTACAGAAGGAAGAATGAGTCGGATCCTCTTCAGTAGCCTCATTTCTCATTGATCGGCTCCATATGAAAACAACATTAACTCTAACGAACATTAACTCTAACTAACCGACACTAACATCACTAACGAACATTAACTCTAACAAACATTAACTCTAACTAACCAACACTAACGAACATTAACACTAACCAACACAAGCTTTATGAAAGCTGTATGATACTGAGGTCAAACTAAAATATGTGCCTGAGCTAAACACATCGTGTGTGAATTAGATTAAAATGTTTGTGGGAACTCTAAATGTCATAATCAGATAATCAGAGGAGCTTCCAGCCGGCACAGAGGAGTTATTGATTCATTCAGACTGAAGCTGCACTTTGTCCTTCAACCATGTGCTTGTTGATTATCAGTTATTAGTGACTGATTCTGACTCCTCTGTGAATATATATTCACAATGTATTTCCTGTCTGTCTCTCTGAGCGTGTCTCTGAATGTGTTTGCCCCCGGGGCTGATGGGAGTTGGAGTCTTCAGTGGGGACACAAAGCGTCTTTGTGAGCTTCCTGTTTTCTCCAGCAGACTGTTGTCCGTGTGACCGAGTGGTGATCGACTGAAACAACAACGATGTCTTTCACCATCACATTCCTCGACAGTCACATGAACGATTCAAACACTCAGAGACTCAAACTGCTGACGGACGAACGAGGTTCAGTACACACAGAAACCTGGACAGGTGAGCAGCTGAAGATGCTCCAACAAACTTCTGTCGACTTCACTTAATCAATATTAACACAAAGGAATCGATAGTTTAGTTCAGTGATCGTCAGATCATATCTATCGTATATGAACATATACTGTATATATGTCTGTATAAGCCTTTATACGTAACTAACATTGTAATGTTTGTATAAATAATAACAACATAAATAGTTATTTACGGTATGAATTAACATTTTTAGTTCATTGTCCAAAATATTTGTAAATTAATTCATTATTTAAAATGTTTTTATGACACAGATATTAGTGACATCATAAAATCAACTTTTTACCAAAACACATAAAGCTTTCATAAAAGTTTCTATTTTTTGTTCATTTTGGTGTCAATATCTGAGTTTCACACCTGGTTTGAATAACACAAACTAATAAGAATAAAAAGAATAAATAATATAATAATAAATATATTTTTTTCTCTGAATGGTAAATGGTAAATGGACCTGTACTTGTATAGCACCTTTCTAGTTTTCCGACTACTCAAAGCGCTTTTACACTACATGGCACATTCGCCCTTTCACACACATTCACTCAGTGATGGTAAAGCCCATAAAACAGAAACTAACTCATTCATACACATTCACACACCGATGCACGGCATCGGGAGCAATTCAGGGTTAAGTATCTTGCTCAAGGATGCTTCAGCGTGTGGCACCAGGAGCTGGGGATCGAACCAACAACCTTCCAATTAGGGGACAACCCGATCTGCCTCTGCACCACAGCCCCCCGAAGGTGGAGGTAATGATGGATGGATGGATGGATGGATGGATGGATGGATGGATGGATGGATGGATGGATGGATGGATGGATGGATGGATGGATGGATGGATGGATGGAAGATAAATGATGGATGATGGATGATGGATGTTCAGTACGTACCCGATTCTCTCCTCTTCTTTCTTTCGGAGGTTAAAGTCTCGTTGAATCACCTCCCAGACGTGTTTGGCCTCTTCGTCCGTCAGACGGGATAAATCCAGTTTTCTCTCCATGATGCTGAAATTATAAAAATACACCAAAGTTAAAGCTGATTTCATCCATCACATTGAGAGTGTTAATACCAACTCGTGGGGTTCCTCAGGGTTCTGTTGTTGGTTCTTTATAGTTTCAATATTCATGCTAATATGTGATAATGTGAAAAATATCATCGTAATGTTGTAATGAAAACACTTTCAGAAAACATTGTAATATAAAAGAATTGTAATATTTCAAATATAACGTGTCTATATAACTCCAAATGATACTTTACAGTACACAACCTTTTCCTTAAAATCACCAGAGGCAACTTCAGTCTAATGTCAGATTATTATCCTTGTGTCACTGAAAGAGGTCCTGGTTATACATTAAGCAGAAGCAAAGCATCAATCAAACAGTAACAATAGTCTTTAGTGGAGTTCCTCAGGGTTCTATTCTTGGTCCTTTATATTTTTCAGTTTACATTTTAGTATGAAACAAGCTCATTTCTGTGTCTGACCATCAGACCTCTGTTTCCTCCAGCTCCTCCCACTGAAACACCAGAGCAGGGTCAGAGGTTTAGGGTCAGTTTTACATGAACTGGAAAAAGGCCTGTAACTCTTGGGAACCTGTCTTCTGACAGCTCTTTAGGAATTCATGTAGTTATTTTTTAGTGTTAAAAGTTGTTGAATATCATTAGATCTGTAGTTTAAACATGTAGAAACTTCACTCAGGTTAAAGTCTCATTAAACTCCATTTAAACTATAAGAAAAGTGTATTTTTAAAAGCTTAATCCGTTTAAACTTTGGTTGCAGTGATTTCTTTGTTGCTGTTTTTAAGTTGCAGTTTGTCACCACACCCAGAAACATGTTACACAACCGAAGATTTCACTCTGACCCTCTCAGATATTTATTACATTCAACTTCTTTAATATCTGACTGGATTTTAAAATTAAACAGATTAATACGTTCCTGATGTGTTCTGTCTTTTCTTTATATAGATTCCTACTGATCAAATTAATTTATTGATTATTGACTGAAGTAACTGAAACAATTTAAAACAAGTAAAGAACAAATGTATGAAAATAAAGATTTAAAGTTGTTCAATAATTCAATAACATCTTTAGTTTTAATAAGACTGTGATTGAGGAGAAAATAAAGACTCACCGTGTTTCTGTGTGTTCCAGCTGCTGAATGATGAAACATCTGAGTTTAAACTGAGAGAATCAGCTGATCACATGACACGTCCTCATGACAACCACACACACACAGAGAGAGAGAGAGAGAGAGAGAGAGAGAGAGAAAATGTGACAATTAAGTCATAACATTTAGAAAATAAAGGAAAGATTGAGATAAAGTCATCATTTAATATGTTTTATATTTAAAGAAGAAGAAAGAAAGAGTGGTCAGACACTGCCTCCGCTGTGAGGAGGAAGAACGTGAGGAAAATCACTGAGATGAAGTTTTAACTAAATAAAATGTTTAATATTATAAAATGAGGGACTGATTATTCCTTCACCTTCATGTAACTCACCTTCATCTTCATCAGTGGGATGATACTACCCCCTGCTGGACTGGAAGAATTCAACACACACTTTCATAAAGATTTCGGTTCCAAATGTAAAGAAAGACAAGAAATTCATTAATATGTTTCTATGACAGCCTCCACTCTGCTTTCTGCTGGACAACAGCGTCCACAAACTTTTGTCCACATACTGTCTGTTTGAGCTGAATGATGTCAGTAGTCCTGAGCTGAGAAAGACAATAAACACCCACAGTAACATTGAGCTTTTATTGGAACAAGAGCCAGAATACAAAGCACTCAGTGAGTGTCAGTGGCAGAAAACCTCCTTCTGATACAACACTGATATTACTCTATTGATTACACTCTGATATTACTCTATTGATTACACTCTGATATTACTCTATTGATTACACTCTGATATTACTCTATTGATTACACTCTGTTTCTGATATTACTCTATTGATTACACTCTGATATTACTCTATTGATTACACTCTGATATTACTCTATTGATTACAGTCTATTGATTACACTCTGATATTACTCTATTGATTACACTCTGATATTACTCTATTGATTACTGTCTGTTTCTGATATTACTCTATTGATTACAGTCTGTTTCTGATATTACTCTATTGATTACAGTCTGTTTCTGATATTACTCTATTGATTACAATCTGTTTATGATAGTACTCTATTGATTACAGTCTGTTTCTGATATTACTCTATTGATTACAGTCTGTTTCTGATATTACTCTATTGATTACACTCTGATATTACTCTATTGATTACTGTCTGTTTCTGATATTACTCTATTGATTACAGTCTGTTTCTGATATTACTCTATTGATTACTGTCTGTTTCTGATATTACTCTATTGATTACTGTCTGTTTCTGATATTACTCTATTGATTACTGTCTGATATTACTCTATTGATTACAGTCTGTTTCTGATATTACTCTATTGATTACACTCTGATATTACTCTATTGATCACAGTCTGATATTACTCTATTGATTACACTCTGATATTACTCTATTGATTACAGTCTGTTTCTGATATTACTCTATTGATTACTGTCTGTTTCTGGTAGTACTCTATTGATTCTCTATTTCTGATATTACTCTATTGATTACAACTGTTTATGATAGTACTCTATTGATTACAGTCTGTTTCTGATATTACTCTATTGATTACAATCTGTTTATGATATTACTCTATTGATTACTGTCTGTTTCTGATAGTACTCTGTTGATTACAATATGTTTCTGATATTACTCTATTGATTACAATCTGTTTATGATATTACTCTATTGATTACAGTCTGTTTCTGATATTACTCTATTGATTACAGTCTGATATTACTCTATTGATTACAGTCTGTTTCTGGTATTACTCTATTGATTACACTCTGATATTACTCTATTGATTACAGTCTGATATTACTCTATTGATTACAGTCTGTTTCTGATATTACTCTATTGATTACAATCTGTTTATGATAGTACTCTATTGATTACTGTCTGTTTCTGATATTACTCTATTGATTACAGTCTGTTTCTGATATTACTCTATTGATTACACTCTGATATTACTCTATTGATTACAGTCTGATATTACTCTATTGATTACAGTCTGTTTCTGGTATTACTCTATTGATTACAGTCTGATATTACTCTATTGATTACAGTCTGATATTACTCTATTGATTACAGTCTGTTTCTGATATTACTCTATTGATTACTGTCTGATATTACTCTATTGATTACAGTCTGTTTCTGATATTACTCTATTGATTACTGTCTGTTTCTGATATTACTCTATTGATTACTGTCTGTTTCTGATATTACTCTATTGATTACTGTCTGATATTACTCTATTGATTACAGTCTGTTTCTGATATTACTCTATTGATTACAATCTGTTTATGATAGTACTCTATTGATTACTGTCTGTTTCTGATAGTACTCTATTGATTACAATCTGTTTCTGATAGTACTCTATTGATTACTGTCTGTTTCTGATATTACTCTATTGATTACTGTCTGTTTCTGATATTACTCTATTGATTACTGTCTGTTTCTGATATTACTCTATTGATTACTGTCTGTTTCTGATATTACTCTATTGATTACTGTCTGATATTACTCTATTGATTACAGTCTGTTTCTGATATTACTCTATTGATTACAATCTGTTTATGATAGTACTCTATTGATTACTGTCTGTTTCTGATATTGCTCTATTGATTACAATCTGTTTATGATAGTACTCTATTGATTACTGTCTGTTTCTGATATTACTCTATTGATTACTGTCTGTTTCTGATATTACTCTATTGATTACTGTCTGTTTCTGATAGTACTCTATTAATTACAGTCTGTTTCTGATATTACTCTATTGATTACAGTCTGTTTCTGATAGTACTCTATTAATTACAGTCTGTTTCTGATATTACTCTATTGATTACAGTCTGTTTCTGATAGTACTCTATTGATTATAATCTGTTTCTGATATTACTCTATTGATTACAGTCTGTTTCTGATATTACTCTATTGGTTACAGTCTGTTTCTGATAGTACTCAATTGATTACAGTCTGATAGTACTCTATTGATTACAGTAATTTTTTGATATTACTCTATTGGTTACAGTCTGTTTCTGATAGTATTCAATTGATTACAGTCTGATAGTACTCTATTGATTACAGTAATTTTTTGATATTACTCTATTGATTACAGTCTGATATTACTCTATTGATTAAGGTCTGATAGTACTCTATTGATTCACAAAGGTGACTATCAGACTGGATGAAGCAGAAGGGCGAATTGAGAAAACAGAAGAAAGGATCCAAAACATGGAAGAAATCATGACAGAGATGCTAAAGATACACGTGAAGCTAGAGGATAAGCTAATGGACTTGGAGAGCCGCTCGAGACGTGAGAACGTGAGGATTTACTGGGTGCCAGAGGAAGCTGAAAAAGCCTCACCAACTATGGTGTCATTTGTGGAAAAACTCCTTTGAGACCTACATTGGAAGTCGTATTTGACGACAAAGTTAAGCCTATGTTTTTGAATGTGTCGTCTGTTCATTGTTATCTCGTTCACTCCCGGTTTGTTCTTTTGGGGAGGTGGGAGCTTACCAGGTTCATTAATGCAGTAGAAGGGGGATTAACTTAGATGACAAAAAGATCTATCAAAATGGCTTCATTTAATATAATCGGCATACTCAATCCAATTAAGAGGGGGAACATTTTATCGAAACTCAAGAAAGAAAAAGTCCAAATTGCATATTTGCAGGAAACTCATCTTAATAAATCTGAACATGCTAAACTGAACAAAATGGGGTTTAAGCATGTCTATTTTTCTTCCTATTAATCAGGGAGTGGCGATTTTGATATCCAGAACTGTAAACTATGAACATTTATGTGAATATAAACATAAAGAAGGCAGATTTGTTATGATCACAGGAAATTACGGTAAGTTGATGGACCTCTAAATTCCAGAATAAAAGCACACATGCAAAGATAGAACGTTATCCCTTTCCTGAGTTTGAGCTCCAGGATTGAGTCAATTAGGATGAATATCCCTCCACGATTACTTTATCTTTTTCAGTGCCTGCCTGTGGAAATACCACCAAAACAATTTTTAATTTGGGACAGCTCAATATCAAGATACATATGGCAAGGGAAGAGGGCCAGAGTAAAATATAAAACCTTGCAATTAAGAAAAGAAAAGGGAGGAATGGTCCTTCCCTCTCTCAGACTAGAGGACTGGGAGCTGAGAACTGAGGACAGAGCTTCATAGCTTCTCTCTGAGAGGTTACAGCCACTCAGTCTGGAGAGGAAATAATGAACAAGAAGACAAATAACTTTTGTATTCAAATGTTGAGTCTGGACTTTAGCTGATCCAGTATATATGAAGGGGGCATTTACAAAAACAGATCTCTTCATTTTTAGTGATGTTAAATCCTGTTTTTGTGTGAGTGCAATCTGGGAAAATCAATCAAACTGTTGATGGTTTATTCATTTTAAGAATGGCAGTTATCTGTTCTTGGAAATTAACCCTTCATACAATCTCTTCTCAGCACACATTACAATCCTTGCTGTGCTGCCCTTTCTTGGCGTGCAATGTCTCCACCTAGTGGTAGCTGTATTTTTAGGCCACTGGGAATGTAGAGTTTGAGTTTTGACCCTTTGGGGTTGCTGTAGCCAGTCAGTGTGGAGCGCTGAAGCAGCAGGGTAGCAAATGGAGCCAGTGAAGTTAGCAGCTCTGGTTTGTTTCACACAGAGCACAGGAAACATATGTCTGGAAGTATTTGCACATTATGTCGTTCAGGATGTTCAGCATGTAAAGTAAAGTGGATAGTTTATGTTAAGGTTATATTATCGTAACCGTGATGCTAATTAACATGTTAATGGAGATTCACATTATATGTTAGCATTGAGCTAACAGTACAAACACTAATAATAAACACATGGTTGTAGCAGTTATGCTAGCTATGTTAAGTGTTATTTAAACATTCTGTTACACTTTCTAGACGGTTTAATTTACTTTTATAACTGATTGAATGTGTTTTTTTAAGTTCTACAGTTCCTTCATGTGGGAGGCAACAAATAAACAGCTTGAAACAGAAAGTTTTTGTCACTCATTTGGAGAACTGTTCACATATCTGCCAAACTAAACACCAACGTTCAGGGAGGGCACAATACTTTCTGTTCTACTCTGAACATGTTGGGGATGTGACAACTAATCTGAACAGCAATAAAGAACCAATGATAGTAAGTCAAATGATTTCAAACCAGCAATAAGGTTCTTGAGAGTTTCTGAGAACTGAGGACAGAGCTTTACAGCTTCTCTCTGAGAGGTTATAGCCACTCAGTCTGGAGAGACAACAGTAAGGAAACAAGTAGTAACTGATTGATGTTTTTCTCCTGTTGAAAGATAGTGTATTTATTGATGAATAAATCCCACTTACAGAGCTTTGTTGGAGGCTTTGACCACTGGCAGCAGCATCAGAAGAGCCTCCTCTGAAGCAACGTATTTCTTCAGGTCAAACACGTCCAGATCTTTTTCTGATGACAGTAAGATGAAGACCAGAGCTGACCACTGAGCAGGAGACAAGTAATCTGTGGAGAGACTTCCTGAACTCAGGGACTGTTGGATCTGATCCACTAGAGAACTATCATTCAGTTCATTCAGACAGTTCATCAACAGATTGATGGTTCTCTCTACAGAGGGAGTCTCTTCAATCTTCTTCTTGATGTAATCGACCGCTACCTGATTGGTCTGTAGGCTTCTTCCTGTCTGTGTCAGCAGACCTTGTAGGAGAGTCTGATTGGTCTCCAGTGAAAGTCCCAGGAGGAAGCGAAGGAACAAGTCGAGGTGTCCATTTGGACTCTTTAAGGCTTGGTCAACAGCCCGCTGGAAGTACTTTGTCACTTCAGATTTATGGTAGATTAACTGTTGTTCTGACAACAGATTGACTCCAGAGTTGATGAATGTCAGATGGACATGAAGAGCAGCCAGAAACTCCTGAACACTCAGATGGATGAAGCAGAAGACCTTGTCCTGGTACAGTCCTCTCTCCTCTTTAAAGATCTGTGTGAACACTCCTGAGTACACTGAGGCTGCTCTGATATCGATGCCACACACTGGTCTGATTCATAGAAGATCAGGTTGCCTTTTGTTAACTGCTCCAAAGCCAGTTGTCCAAGAGACTCAATCATCTTCCTACTCTCTGGACTCCAGTGTGGATCTGTCTCAGCTCCTCCATCATACTTGACATTCTTCAGTTTAGACTGAACCACCAGGAAGTGGATGTACATCTCAGTCAGGGTCTTGGGCAGCCCTCTTCTCTTTCTGGTCTTCAACACATCCTCCAGAACTGTAGCAGTGATCCAGCAGAAGACTGGGATGTGGCACATGATGTGGACGCTTCTTGATGTCTTGACATGAGAGATAATTCTGCTGGCCTGCTCCTCATCTGCAAACCTCTTCCTGAAGTACTCCTCCTTCTGTGGGTCAGTGAACCCTCTGACCTCTGTCACCATGTCAACACACCCAGGAGGGATCTGATTGGCTGCTGCAGGTCGTGAGGTTATCCAGAGGCGAGCAGAGGGAAGCAGGTTCCCCCTGATGAGGTTTGTCAGCAGCACATCCACTGAGGTGGACTCTGTTGGATCAGTCAGGATCTCAGTGTTGTGGAAGTCCAGAGGAAGTCGACACTCATCCAGACCGTCAAAGATGAACACAACCTGGAACTCTTCAAACCTGCAGATTCCTGCTTCTTTGGTTTCAGTAAAGAAGTGATGAACAAGTTCCACCAAGCTGTACTTTTTCTCTTTCAGCACATTCAGCTCTCTGAAAGTGAATGGAAATGTGAACCGTATGTCCTGGTTGGCTTTGTCTTCAGCCCAGTCCAGAGTGAACTTCTTTGTTAAGACTGTTTTCCCAATGCCAGCCACTCCATTTGTCATCACTGTTCTGACTGATTCATCTCTTCCAGGTGAGGGTTTAAAGAAGTCTTCTTGTCTGATTGTTGTTTCTGGTCTGTTTGGTTTCCTAGATGCTGTTTCAATCTGTCTGACCTCATGTTCATCATTGACCTCTGCTGTCCCTCCCTCTGTGATGTAGAGCTCTGTGTAGATCTGGTCCAGAAGGGTTGGGTTTCCTGCTTTAGCAATCCCCTCAAACACACACTGGAACTTCTTCTTCAGGTTGGATTTGAGTTCACACTGACAAACTCCAGAATAACTTCCTGAATGAACAAACAACAAATAAGACCAATGAGTGGATTCTAAAGTAAATATGACAATTTCATTCCCCTAAAGAAGTCATATATGAACATATTTCCCCCGTCTGTTGAGACATCAGTAAATTGTGAATATTGTGAACACAATAGATGTAAAAATAGTTGTTGTCCATGTACAGACCATAAATATGGAGTCCAGGTGTGTTTGATACTGCTGGGCAGACTGACTACTGGGAACCTCTGAGCTCTCCTGGTCCACTCTGTGGAGGAATCATGAAGAATGAGCTCACATTATGGCTGTCTACACAGAGACAAACACAAGCTAAAGGTCCTTTGAGTTAAAGTGTTAATAACAACATTCAATCAGATGGTTTCCCCTGACATTAGTGTTGGTTGTACTGCTGATCCCACTGTGAATCAACAGTCAGTCTGCATTTCTGAGCAGCTTTTGGTTTACTGTGTTTGTTGACTGGATTCATCGGTTTAGATCGCCCGGCTCTTTTTGACCCCTGTAATACCGTGGACGGTTAGCAACACAGCTCAAACAAGCTAACTGGATGCTAACGGTCCAGCACACATGACCCAATAAACCAGAAGTTCAGGTGATATCACACCAACCTGTTTGTCAAATCAAAGCTACAACATTCTTGTTTGCGTTGTATATGAGCAATCGGGCACAAGTTGGACTTCTCTGTTTAGGGGCCTTGAAAGGGTGCTGCCTCAGGACTACAGTTTTCAGTTCAATTCAATTCAATTTTATTTGTATAGCGCCAATTCATAACAGAAGTTATCTCAGGACACTTTTCAAATAGAGCAGGTCTAGACCGAACTCCTTATAACATTTACAGAGACCCAACAGTACCACCATGAAAAAGCACTGCCTGTTAAAAGGTAGAAACCTAGGACAGATCCTTCCGCTCTAGGTGGGTGGTCGTCTGTCTCGACCAGTTGGGGTGAGAGAGAGAGAGAGAGAGAGAGAGAGAGAGAGAGAGAGAGAGAGAGAGAGAGAGAGAGAGAGAGAGAGAGACAATCCATAACTAGCACAGCAGTCCAATAACAAAGTATCACTCTGGTTCTGACTGGGCAAGCCATTCCCCCCTGTCAGCTCCATCAGTTTCTCAATCAATGCCTATGTGAGTCCCCCAGTATATTGGCCCCTTCATATCTTAAAGAGCTCATAGTACCCTATTACCCCACTAGAACACTACGTTCTCTGAATGCTGGGCGACTTGTGGTTCCTATAGTCTCTTAAAGTCCCCCATCGTTGCTGTTGTCATGTTCATCATCAGTCACTACTATTAGTGTAGTTGTTGTTACTGTTGTTGCTGTGCACCTGTCTGTCTGTCTCTCTCTCTCTCTCACCCCAACTGGTCGAGACAGACGACCACCCACCTAGAGCCGGAGGATCTGTCCTAGGTTTCTGCCTTTTAACAGGCAGTTTTTCCTTGCCCTTTTTATTCCTAAATATTTAATGATGTTATTCTTCCATTTAAAATTGCAAAGGTTATTTATTTGTAGTGAGAGGATATAGTTAAATGAAATAACTTGTTTTATGAATGTTTAATTTATAACCCAATGTGACCAGGGCAGTTAAGCGCCCTGACAGCAAGTGCGACAACGCCACCCTGGGACTTTCACCCAGAGAATACCCACTTTCACAGGTTCTTATAGTACAGAGAAAAAGGAGCAGAGATGTGAATTTCCAGTTTCGACCACTAAATTTATTTGCACAGATTTAATGTCACTCTCAAAAAAACAATTTGGGACAGGTTAAAACTTACAATTTATTACCAAAATATACTTATATTCACTAAACAGGTAATTACCAGTACAAGGGGGAGGGGAGGGGGGCTGTCAGGGAGGCCTACAGGAATGAGGGAGTGAGAGAAAAGGGGGGTCACCACCACCAGTAGGTACAGGGAAGAGGAGATCACACACACACTGCAAAACAATAAAGCACATAGTTAGAATACACAGCAACGTAAGCATGCACATAGAACCCAGACAGGGGGAAACCCTCCACCCAGTAACCCACCACCTGTAAGCGTATGACAGCCCACCTGTACAAACACTAAAAAAAGAGCCCCACTATATCATTAACTCACAAGTTTGGTTTATGAAAGATGATAAATAAATCCGACAACTAAATTAACCAAGAAAACAGACCAACTATCAAAAATTAACAATCCACACAGTAAAACAAGGTAACCATATACAATAAATACATTTGTAGAAGGGCAAAAACAGCAGTAGCCAGAAGACTAGGTCATGGGAACAGACACCATGTTCCAGTTCCTACTGTAAAGAAAACACATACAAAATATATGGTGACATGTATACAATATATACATTAATCCAAAAACATATGTTTCAGTCATTAAAATCTAAAGACCACTGAGAAGAATAGTACACAAGACATACAACTTAAAGATTAACATACCTGCGAGTTACATGAACAATTTATCCAACTAGAATCTGGCACATACACACCACACTCTTCTAGTGGAGGGAGCAGCAACTACCTTCAATTAGCTCCCATATTCCTGCCATTACACCTGCACAGATGTGAGGGAAGAATTTAATGCATGCGCCCACTATATGACAAACAAGCCAAGAACAATTCATACCTTAATTGGGCATCGGCATCCCTCAAACAATTGTAGAGTCAGGGTAGGGTGAGGCAAAACCTACTGCTGACTGCTACACAGCTACATTTAAGGACTGAGAAGTGATTAGCCTCACCTGCTGACAATCAATGACTGCAGGATGTGGCTAAACTAGAGTGGGGAGGGAACGCTACCCATCACACCAAGTAATAACCAAATGTTTTCAAGAAGGACATTAGTTTTGGTAAACTCAAATCTGACTGCGAAAGAGTGATCAATATGTCATCTGCATAAAGGCAGGTCTTAAACTGTGTCTTTAATACAATCTCTAATAGCCTGAGCCAGAGGTTCGATAAATAGTGCAAACAAGGTCGGACTTAAGGGACACCCCTTCCGACAGCCTCTTTCAAGTGGCACAGGGTTGGTCAGACTAGCGTTTATTTTGATTCTGGCTGAGGGGGAATAATATACGTTTTTTAGATATAAGATGACTTTAATATTAAAGCCAAATCTTTGTTATGTTAAGTGTAAATATTCCCAGCTAACTGAATCGAATGCCTTTTCGGCGTCGAGGCTGAGAACAATGGATTTATCTTTATTTTTGCTCATATGCTCCATTCAATGTAAAGCCCGTCTTACGCTATCTTGCGTCTGTCTGGTTTTAAGGAACCCTGTCTGGTCTTATATCCGGAATAATATTTTCTAATCTTTTTGCAATTATTGAAGCATATAGTCTATAGTCTAAGTTTAAAATCGTTATTGGTCTGTATGAACTGCACTCAGATTTATCTTTGCCCACCTTAGGAATTACAGAGATGATGGCATGTCTCCAAGAAGCTGGTGTTTCTCCTCCATTAAGAGTAAAATTAAAGCATTTCAATAATGTTGGTGATAGTAACTCTCTAAATGTTTTGGACCATTCTGCGGAGTATCCATCCTCACCTGGCATTTTATTTGTTTTGAGTCTCGAGATAGCATTATCCAGCTCTTTCTGCATTATTTCCTTCATCATTATTTTATTCTGTTCTGACCCAATGGATGGTAGATCCAGTGAGTTAAGAAACTGTGTAATACTCAAAGAATCAGCTCCTTCCGGTTGTGTGTACAAATCCTTATAGTAATAGGAGTTTTGTATTTCCTTTAATTTATGACACATTTTTCCAGATTGTGTGTCCTTAATTTTATGGATGGACCTCCTGTTGTTTTCTTATCCTCCAGGCTAACAGTTTTTTGGCTCTAGGTCCATTATCATAGTACCATTGTTTGATAAACGTAGCTTTCATCTCCTCATGACTATCATATAGTTTGTTTAAGTCTTGTTTAACGAGTTTTATCTGATCTAATCATTTGGAATTATTAAATTCCATGTGTTTCAATTCTAGGTTTTTTAGTTCCTGTAACAAGTCTTTCATTCGTTTCTGTTTCTCCCTCTTTTTAATTAAGGACCACAATATAAGTTTTCCCCTTATTACTGCCTTGGCAGCATCCCATACAGTACTTGGGAACATTTCTTCAGTATGATTTTGTTCTAAATATTCTTTAAATTCCTTTTGAATGTATTGATTGCACAAAGGATCATTTAATAAGCTTGTGTTTAGCCTCCATGTCGTATTTTTAATTTCAGTGTCTAGATGTAGGGATAGATATACACCCGCATGGTCTGAGATATCTTTGAACCCTATTTGACATTTTAAAATTCTGTGTCTTTCTGAATTAAACATAAAAAAGTAATCAATTCTTATAGTTAGGGCTGGATCAAGTGAGTCCTGAACCATCCCTTAGTTATGCTGCTATAGGCCTAGACTATCGGGGGATTTCCCATGGTGCACTGAGCTCCTCCCTTCCTCTCTCTTTCTGCACTCATTCATGTCCCATTAATGCATGTTACTAACTTCACTTCTTCCCCGGAGTTCTTGTGCTTTCTCGTCTCGCAGGTTCTTATCGATCCTGGTGGAGCCTCCTGCCATGGTCCTGCTAGATTGCCATTGCCAATACTGTTGTTACTGTGAACCTGTCTGTCTGTCTGTCTGTCTGTCTGTCTGTCTGTCTGTCTCTCTCTCTCTCTCTCTCTCTCTCTCTCACCCCAACTGGTCGAGACAGACGACCACCCACCTAGAGCCGGAGGATCTGTCCTAGGTTTCTGCCTTTTAACAGGCAGTTTTTCCTTGCCCTTGTCGCCAAGTGCTTGCTCGTGGTGGTACTGTTGGGTCTCTGTAAATAATGTTATATAGAGTTCGGTCAAGACCTGCTCTATTTGAAAAGTATCCTGAGATAACATCTGTTATGAATTGGCGCTATACAAATAAAATTGAATTGAATTAAATTTAATTGAATTCTTGAATGGACATTATGAGGGTGAAAGAAAAAGGTAAACTACCTCGTTGTTGGGTTAATTCCCTCCAAACATCCATCATACCTGCTTCAAGGAGAAGTTTCTTAACAGTGACTGTCTCAGGATTAATTCTTTTTGTTACATTAGTGGAGTCAAGGGAGGGTTGTAATTGTATATTCCAGTCACCACAAATAAGGACCCCATCAGTCTCTTCAGCAATCAGATCAAATATTTATATATATATGTTTTATCATTACCTGGGGGTCTATACACATTTAATAGTGTTATTTGCTTGTGGTCAATGTAACCTTTTACTAGAATGTATCTCCCCTCAGTATCCTTTATCTGTTTTGAGATCTGGAATATAACTTTGTTAGAGATTAATATTATAACTCCTCTCTTTTGTCCATGTTTGTAAGATGAGTAATATGCACTTTTAAAGCCCAAGTGTTTATACTTTTCATGCTCTTTATCACTGAGGTGAGTCTCCTGCCAAAAAATAATATGTTGTTTTTCTCTTTTCATTTTGGTAATCAACTTGCTCCTTTTGTTACGATTTTGCAGATCATTAACATTTAAAGTGATTATTTTATACTCCTGATTTAACATTTTACCGCACATATTTTCTCCCTCCATTAATCTAAACATGTAAATAAAAACCATCTGTGCTGAACAAAACAACCAAACAAAAATAACCTCCAACAGTGAAGTAAAGTAACAACTTCTGAATGGGGAGGGGAGGCCTCCAAAGGGAGGGCCCCTCCAGATGTATCTAAACATCTTCCTAAAAGCGATTAAAGTTCACACAATAAGTGGTATTAGTGCAGTTTCTGTCACCCAGATAAACAGTCCAATTAGCATTTTTTATAATATTATGAGCTCAGAAGTCATATTACCATAATCATGTTACTCATACACAGAGAGCCATAACATTCAACCGGTGTTCAAACAAAAAAAAGAAAACACCCTCAGAAAAGACTCTGAAATAATTATCATCATTAATAAATTTGCTTTCCTCTCATTATCACTCACGAGTACACCTCAGGTCATACTCTCCTGGAGTGTGAGAGCTCGCTGGAATCTCCGGAGCTTCTCTTTGGCTCGCTCAATGTCTGTGGCTCGGTTCCAACATCTTGGGGACCCGTTGACCTGCCATGCGTTTTCTCCCAGCTTCTTGCGGGGTGTCATCACAGATGCGTCGGCGGGTGTATTGTCCTCGTCGGTTCCTTTGTCAGCTGTTAGTATCTCTTTCTTCAGCATATCCTCTGTCGCCTCTTCTGCATTGTTATATGTGGTGGGTCCTTCTTCATAAAAGACTCAGTTTTGCGGGTGCGGGTGTTTGGAATTTGAGTCCCTGTTTTTTTAACACCTTCCTCAATGGCGCATATTCCTTCCTCTTTTTTATAACTTCTGCTGGGTAGTCGTGGTCGAAGTAGACTCTTTGCCTGTTGATATGTATCTCTTTCTTTTTCCATGCGGTGCTCAGCACCAGTTCCTTGGTTTTGTACATGAGGAAACAAGCGATCACGGATCTCAGGGCGGCTTGCGGTGGTGGTTTAGGTCCGAGTGACCGGTGACAGCGTTGTATATTGAGGTCAATGTCCGGGAGTTGAAACTCTGACTTAATGAATTTCTCCAGAAACTCACACGCATTGTTCCCCTCCTCGCCCTCTGGGATCCCGAAGATTCGAAGGTTATTTCTTTCTAAATCTGTTAACTTGGACACAATACGCTCTTGCTCCTTCAAAGCCTGGAGAAGCGCATTTTTCGCGGTCGCATTCCACTCCTCCACCTCAGCCACTCGGTTCTCCACCTCCTCCATCCTAGCCTCTGTGTTCTTAAGTTCTGCCCCGATCTCGCTCAGTTTTTGGTTAACTTTTGATTGTCTCACAAAATCCTCTCAGTTCCTTTTTCATGTCCAGGTGTCCTGCTTTTATGTCAGCGTGGATAGCACCTATGCTAGCTTGCAGGGCATCCATCGTAGCCTGCACATTAGCTTCACCTGTATCGACGTCTCCTGTCGCCATATCCTCGTTTTAAACTTTAGTAAACTTTAAACAGGAAGTAGGAGGAGAAACTACAGACTGTATATTTCATATCAGAATCAGAAA